AAACAATGTGCTTAGTGGTCTTTTTTATGGATTCTTGATCAGAGACCTCTAATTGCCTTGGAAATATGTGATATTTCTTGCTTATTTTGACATGTTCATCAAAATCGTGTAGAAACATTTTTCCAGAATTTTTCCTCAGTCTGGTCACTATGTTTGTCTCCTTTTTAAAATAGTCCAAAAGGATGCTTTCAGAATCTACATTAATGTCAGGCTCTGTGGCTGGAGGGAGAGCTGAGGATACAGCATAGACCCATTTTTCCCAAAGTTCATTGAATTTCTCATGTAACTCTGTCTCACTTAATTCCTTGCCCTTTATGGTTAAAGCCAATCTTCTGCTTTTTTCTAATAATTCTTTTTCATAAACTGACTTTTTATTATTTAGTGTTTCTTGACTCTTTTTAAAACTAATAAGTTCCTTGACTTTTCTTTGGCTGTCTAAAATAAGTGCCTCTTTAAGGATTAATAGCTTGTTTTCAAAACTTGCTTTCCACTGAATCAGTATTTCACTATCTTGATCTTCATTAAAATATTTTTCAAGTTCTTGTTTGATGGCTTCATATTTTTCTGTAACTGGAGCCTCAAGTGTGCTTGTTGTGAGTGTCTGGATTTTACCATTCTGAATATGGTTGATCAGCTGGTCCTGCAAACCTAACACATGACTTCTCAGCTCCCAGGTCCAGTGATTATATATGGTTTCCAATTTGCTCATGGCCATGACCTCTCGGGTGTTTCTGAAACTGAAAATAAAGTTCTCATTCACCAGGGCTCTCCACAAATCTTGAACTCGGAATTTTACATCTGATATCCTCATGATGCTTCCCCTAGATTCCTGTTTGGCAGTCATAAGAATTCTACTTCTCAGTTCCTGGACATTGTGGCTGTAGCGAGGATTGGGAGGGGCCATTGGGGGATTGCCATCCCAGAGGTGAGCAAAGTAGTAGACATTAGTATCAATATCAAACTTAATGACATCACTAAAGTGGGTTATATCTGAGCACTGTTCTTGCTCAGCTGCTATTGCTGCCATTTCATCTAGTCTCTGCTCCAACCGCCTCCGTCCTTCTATAGTTTGGTCTTTAGCTGTAACTTCCCCCACATTCTGATGGACAAAGAAGCAACTTGGGGAGAGTTTTACTTGTTTCATCCTCATGAAGGCTTGGACAACTATTTGTAGAATATCTTGCATTTCTGATGGATTTTCCCCAAAAATATTTATCAGAGTTAAATTTCCAAGTCCAATCACAAAGGTTGCCAACTCATTGTCATGATTGTTGGATTTGTTGCGAAGTTCTGGGGCCCGAAGTCCTTCTGTGTCCACAACGAGCACAAAGTCAAAGCCAAGTTCGTCTGTGAATGTTTCCTCCACCTTCAGGAGCTGCATGTAGGCCCCCTGGGTACACCTCCCAGCACTAACAGTGAGCTGTAGCCCAAATAGTGCATTCAGCAGGGTGGACTTCCCTGAGCTTTGCAGGCCAAGGATAGAAAGAACAAACAGGCGTTTATTTCCAAGTTTCTCAGAGACCTTGTCAAAAAGAGCTGCCACCCACTTGAGAGGCACATATGAAGCATCCCCATCCATCAGCTCAATGGGAACACCAGATATCATCAGATCTGCAGCAATCTGGGGAAGAGAGGTCAAAAGGATATCTTTTATAGAATTAGTTTCTTCTAGAGCTTCATAGATCTGGCCAGCTTCTCTGAGAAATTGCTCAATTCCCAAGGTACAATCACTAATCTCTATGGAGAGAGCTTCTATCTTATCTTGCCAAACCTTCAGTTTGTCGCTATTTGGTGCCGTTTGCTTTTTTGTTTGTATCTCTGACCACAAAGACTTTTTCTTTTCATTCAGTTTTTCTAAGTGTCCTGCAGTCAGGTTGTCCAAAAACGCACTCAGCCATTGCAAAAAGTAGAGTGAGGTTTGAGTTTCTGAATGTTTCCGGAGAATTAGGAGGACAGATTGCATTAACTCATTGAGAGGAAAGGCTCTGGTCAACTGTTGGCATCGTATTCTTTGTTTTTCTGCCTCAATCTCACTCTTGTGTTGTTCAATGCTCCGATTCCCCTTTTCTCTCAAGTGATAGAGTTCTTTGTCCTTTTTACACCAAAGGTGCCACAGTTGTCCTTGAAGGGGTAGTAAGTTTTCTTTCACCTGAGATATCTTCTTATGTTTCAGTAGGGCCATTACAGTCTCTGCCTTTTCTTTGGCTTCTTTGCAATCTCCTTGGTCTTCATCAATAAGGAATCCTTGCTTGTGAGCAATCTGGGTACAGTCCTCTAGGCTGAGAACAGTGTCTGAGAGCTTTAGCAAACGTGTGATGGTAGTTGTGAGCTCCTCTGTTAATTCTGCCTCATTTCTGTTCCTGATTCCAATCATCACTTTCTGATTAGAGTTATTGGCCATGGTTTTTTCTTTGTTGTCAAGCAAACAGATCAAAGGTCTTGGTGACTGACTCAGGTCACGGACAATTTTTCGGTTTTCTTTATTATCATCAGAAGTGGACATGAGGACCACAATGAGAGAAGACACCTCTTTCAGGAAGGAGAGTTGCTTCTCATATTCCTTTGCATTTCCATGAAGGTTAGTGAAGGTCAAGCATTTGTCAAATCTGTCCTCATCTTCCCCCCCAGGACAGAACCAGCAGACTTCCACCACACCCCCCATCAAGAGACAGTCTTTGCTGCTCCCTCTGCAGTGTCTGTGAAAAAAGACATCATATTTACGTTTACTGAGAAGACAGTTCATAATCTGAGATTTGGAAGCAGAGAAACCATTTCCAACTCTAATAAAGGAAACAATGGGGGCAGAGACATGGCACATCTGCTTATTCTTATAATTGTTCTTCTCTTCTTTCGGTGATTTCCTTACTTCCTGCCAGCTTCTTCTAATTTGACTGAGAGACCAGAGAGAGAACTCAATTTCAGAATTGCAAGGATTAGGTATGAGAAGGGGGAGAGCAAACTGACAAATGGAAAGTTTGGTCAAAATATATTGTCTGGCAAAATCATCTGCACAGTGAAGAATTGCCATCTGAATATCCATAGGATGAATATGGGGCCTAGGAGTTGTGGCTGAAGGATTAGTGGGAGGATCACTGTCTTCAAATGAGTCTTCATATGGATCAAAAGGCTTATT